TGACACCATATGTGGGAAGCAAACCATATGGAGGACACTAAGGGGGAAAATGAAGGTACAAGAGGAATAATTAGAAAGGGAAACCTGGGTATCAAGTCAGTCAATAAAGAACTGCAGTCCTTGGGGACATTGCCTTTCTCTTTGGCTTGGTGAGTCTGGAACAGTCTCTGATTCTGACAAATGTCACCTAGCTGGTGCCTTTTCCCGTGACCTTTTCCAGTGTCAGCAGGTGTGAAAGGAATTTGTGTATCATGAAAGAAAAATATCACCCAGGAACTCATCTAATAAAATGAAATATGTTCTAGAGGAACTGGCTGAGGAGACCTTCAGGAAAGGTGGAACAAAGTGAAGCAGACTGTAGCAGGTCATAAAGGTCTGTGTAGGTGAGAGCAACCTTGAGCAAACATGCTTGAAACATACACTTAACACTTTCGAAACCTCAATTCCTGCTCTCAATCTTTCTAATTTGCTGTATCTAAAACAAAATACACTGACTGGGTAGAATTAACAACAGAAATTTATGTCACATCTTTCAAAGTCACAAACCTAACATTACTTGCCATGTATTTATTTTCTCAAGATGCCTCTTCTTGGACTCTAGATAATAGCCTCCCTGTTGGGTCATCACACAGGGTTTTTCTTATAGACATTTAACCCTGGTATCTCCCTGTGTGCTCACATATCTTCTTCTTTAAGGGTACAGACACAGTCAAATTCTCCTGGGTCCCAGGCTAACCTCTTTATGATGCAATCATCTCTTTAAGGTTTATGCTTCTATGTCCAGTCTTACTGTGAGATGACAGGCTTGCAGCTTACACATAGCATCTGATCTAGCAGAAAATCGGTCTGAAGACCTCCAACTATTCACTCAGTTAAGGCAATTTATATTGTCTAATTGTTCAGACACAATTATCAAACTGAGTTAGGTCTCTGTTTCAAATACATTCTAAATATGGCTACTCACACGATACCTACTCTAATGCTCCGGTGTAGTCAACAACATACCAAGAGACCACCTGACCATATTTCACCATGGGAGGTAGTATCTATTAACTGCTAACCTCAACTAAGTTAACCTTCAGGTCTACCCTATTGTAAACATAGCAACAATTATTTTCAATATCAGTTTTGTGTATAAGAGGACAGAGGCATCAGCCAAGTCTTCTAGAAAGAAAATTAATAATCTAGGTATCACAAGTTCCAGGACTTGAATTCTCCTTGCTATGATCCACTGCCTTTCTGCTTTTCTTTTATATTTACATAAGAAGGTGAGACATGATGATGTTCAGAAAACAAATAAATTATAATAGGCTATATTTTAAAGGTAGAAATTTTCCTAAGCCTTAACAGGTAAGCTATAAAAGTAATTTCTTAATAATTTTAAGAAGTACTAATTAACATATAATTGTGTTTCTTATATCATATTCACCAGGCTTATGACATACTATATTTCTTGATCCAAAGATAGTATAGACATTAGAAGTTTCAGATCATCTCAAAAATACAAAAACTATCTAGTTTTGAGAATCATGCCTGTATTTCTTATTTTTAAATGATTGTTACAGGGTAAGTATATTAGCATTTAATAATTATAATTTTTGAAATCTGATGTTAAAGGACTATTATTACTATTTTATTTAATATTCACATATGCATATGATGTATTAGGATCAAATCTAAACCTCATTCCCACACCTCCAATTCTTTCCCTGTCCTCCTTACAATTATCTTTTCTTCCTCCTAACTTCATGTACCCTCCCTGCCATTTTTCAAAAATACCAGCTGAGTCTGTTTAGTTCTGCGTGTATACCCACAGGTGTGGGGCATCCTCTTGGGGCCCAGACTCTGAATCCCTGAATAAAACTTACAGTCCTTCTCCACAAGAGCACTCACTGATAGCCAATAACTACTCAGATAGTGGTAGAACTTCATATGTTTCCCACTCAGTCGTATTCTTATTTTGACTGGCTTAATCTTGTGTAGGCCCGAGGTATGAAGTGATAACCACTGTAAGTTGTATATGCAGCTTTCCTGTCAATTCTAGCAAGTGCTGTTCCATTACAGACATCTACTCCATCTGCTTCTTCCAGCCCTTCCTCCTAATTGTGTGATGGTTTGAAACTTGGGATAAGGGGTTTGATTCAGATGTCCCTAATTGGTCTGGAACTCGTTGTGTAGGCAAGGCTGACAAACTGTGGTTGTCTTCCAAGTTCTGGGATTTAAGACATGTGATTCCACCTGAGCTGAAATATTTTGCTCTGTAATAATAACTTTTGTTGCTCTTCCATATCCATGGCATCCTACCTTTGCTTATCTTACCTTTCCTCACCCTCCTGTTTTTCATTTTCTTCTATCTTTCCTTTTCAGATAGGATCTTGTTTTGTCATTCAGGCTGGCCTTGAACTTGCTTTGTCGCCTGATCCTTGCAATCCTCCTGCCTTCCCTTCCTGTGTTCTGGGATTATAGGTATGTACCACTATGCCCAGCTGTTTGATGGTCTTTGATTCTTCTAATTTCAGTAGATGTCAATTTCCATCAAACAAGAAGATAAGTAAAAAGATGTCCGTTTGAGAATGTATTTGTATATTTTATCCAATCATTCTTCTTCATGTGTAGTCTCTCATGCCTTGAGGAAGTCGCGTCTTCAGAAGTTTAGATCTAGGTAAGAATGTGTTTTTCCCTTTCTCTCTAGATAAGTGACTAGACTCTTAGGCCACTAGAGCTTTAAGATGTCTGGAGGATTATGAATTTTTGATTATTCTTATGATGAGTTCTTGGAGAGGAACACATCTTCTCTCAAATAACTTTCCAAATCATGACACCACTCACAAATAGTTTATAAAGCTCCACAAAAATCAGACAGATGACTTTGAGAGAGATTTAGCTCAAAGGATTAGTGAATAACTCCCATATGCATTTGCAGATTTCCTTTGAGAGCTGGAATTTTTTTTTTTTTACCAAAGAGCATTGTGCAACTTCTCCATCTTTTTGCTTGAAAATGTACATTATTATATAGATAGCATCTTGTAAATTAGAATATATGTCAGCTTCTTTATACCAATGCATATCCACTAGACTGAGTATTGGTCAGGTAAAAACACGACAACTGACTTGTAAGTTCTGGCAGTATAAACTTCTCACATTTTCTCCCAAACCCTTCTAATCACTACCTCTTTTGCAAAACTTGTCTATGTTGAGAGGAACTAGATTTACATTCTACTTCTGAGCAACACTTTTTGCCCAGTTCATCTTAGGTTAAATAAGAACAAACAAAGTCAGAGTACTCTATAAATAATAAATATTTGTTTGTTACATTTCAGGGTTATGAAAGTGAAGGATCACAGCCAAATAATGTAATGAGTGTCTTGTATGAACATTTCTGTCATAGTCAGATATTCTTTGACTATGTACTATTTAGATGAAATGATGGCGATAGAAGCATTGGCTTATAAGCTTGGAAAACTTACTGGTTTCTATTCCTTAGCATATTAGCTAAATTGCTGACAGTCTGATAGTTTGAGAATAAAGAATCATGTGACCATTTCCTCAATTCTAAGACACACCAAGAACAAAACATTCTGAAAGGATGGACAAGGAATTAAATTCATAACTGTGACTGAAAATCAAGAACCAACCTTACTTGGGTGAAAAACCACTTCTGGACACATTTGTATCCCAACACTTGCTATGTGACCTGATGGAATTGTAATAATATATGGGTGTTGAGAAACTGTTGCTACTGCACCTCAGCATGATGAGGGAAGAGGTTGATATGAAGATTCCAAAGCTTGAGAAAACAAGGCCCAAATGAAACACTGTAATTTGCTTTGGGTTTCAATGCCAGGTCTTTATTAATGAGATGATAAGTAGGAATATAATATGATTAAAGGAATTCTTTAGAGGATGTTTGTGAAAAATGTTGAGAATCAGATGACAACACAGGAAGACACAGTCAGAACACAGCATATTGATGAGCCAGTATGCTGACAGGGAGGGAGGGAACACATTTCAGGATATTTCTGAGAGAATTTCTTATCACAGGCCAATTTGAGACAATAGCATGGAATATTTCTGCAAATGAGATCACCAACTTAAGGCAAGTTGGACTTTAAAGAAAGTAACTTTTTCATCTGTATAATTGTGATTACTATGAATGGTGCTTATTTAAAGGATTTCCTAGAAGTAATAAGACCAAAAATGTATATAGGATAGTATCATAAAAGGGAGGACACTGAAGTATTAGAGATGTGAAATAATGCTTTTTGTGAAAGAAAATGGACTTCCATGGAAACCCAGTGGTGGTATCTGTAACTATTTCAGCTACCAAATTCCATGGATTTTTAACTAGTCGGAGTACTGTACAATACCAATGATCTGTATCACCAAGATTTCACTGATCTGGGATAGAGCCCTGTATATTGTAAATAATACTGAAGTAACAGGGTGTAAAGAGTGTCTACCATCATTTACCATGTCTTCAAGTGTGATGTCCTAGTGAATTTCATACCTGAACTATAATGACTGTTGTATTAATTAAAATTGTGATGAAATATCATAGGACACTGGACACATACATTATGACTTATGGAATCTTGGCTATAAAGAGTGTCTGAAGTATCTGCTGTCTTCCATTTGTGATATGAAAATACTGTCGACTAATACTTCTTCCCCACAACTCAAATTTGAAGAACAGAGTCTCATCAAACAGACTGAAGTTCAAATTATATCAAGACTTTACTTTGAATATGTGTGCTAGTATCTCAGCCAATACTCCTTCAACAGTATTATTCAAGCCACACATTATATCTTTTAGAAATAAAACAAAGACAATTTTTCTCCCCTTCCTATTTTATAGGTCAAGTCACAAGAGAAGTCATGGATGCAAGGTATCCTGTTTTCCAGGGGTGAAATCACTTTGTAGGGAACTTAAAAGTACCATTGTTCTGCTCCTCCCTATAAGGAGAACTGCTGCTGTTTTGTTCTCTCTAACACGGACCTGAAAGAAACTCCAGAGCCTACTCCAAGATGCTTGTGGTCCTGCTGACAGTGGCCTTGCTGGCCCTGAGTTCAGCTCAGAGCTCAAGTGAAGGTATAAGGAAAAGGGTTGGGAGTGGAGTTTTGTCTGTAAGAAACAGAGAGGGCAATGGAGGACACCAATATTATTGTCAAAGAATTATATATACTGAGTAGGTAGTCTTGTTATAAAATGGGTTCAGGACAGATGGAGGAGATAAATATACATCAAAACTGCTAGAGAGGCAGAGAATCAGATAGCAAGGCCTGACCCTTTATACATAAAAATAGACACATTAAGACCCAATTTGTTCATTTTTATTTTAACAATTGGGAAATTAATTTCATACATGCATACTCTATTTACATTGTTTCCATTCCTGCCCTGCTCCCTCCAATTCCTTACATGTTTCTCCCCTACTCTTTCTCCAATCCACGACTTCTTTATTATTGTTAAACACATATGCACACACACAAACACAAATAAGTCTACAAAGCACTGCAGATGGCTTTAGGGCTAAGCATTGGATAAAGGCATTTACCTTTAGAGAGAGCTGATTCTACCTTCCTAAGCAGCCATTCATTGCCTGTAACTCTTCGCCTAGAAGGTGGGTTTTACTCCTACTTCCAATCAGAATTTCAGTGTGCTATAGTAGCACATGTGACATGGTATAGATGTTTATTTTTTTATTTTCTTCTTGGGAAAACTTACTAATATAAGTAAAGGAAATAATGAATAAAATGGGTAATGATACAGCAAAACTTGGCCTTGAAATAAACATATAAAATGCTAGCAGTGAGTTTGGAGGGATTATAAGAGGATGAAAAGGTTTGCTCTGTCTTTAGGCAATTGGTTGAGATCCACTTTGTCCATCACACTGCTGTTCTCTTGCTGTATCTTTTTTTCTTTTTGAGTACATTTCAGAGTGTGGCTGACAAGATCACACAGGTTATGAATGCAAGTCAAATATCCTTACCAGATGTTTTTGAGTTGAAAAAAAATTGCTTAAGTTTTCTTATAATTTCATTTTTTTAAAAAAAATCCAGAACATTATTTCAATGAAATTAGTGATAAGATGCATATTATTTCATAGATGTCAACTGCGATGGTACTTTGTTCCTACTCTTAAGAGTACTCTGTACTCTTCTTAGGAGTTTTTCAAGTTCTCCAAAATCATATTATAATCATTTAAACTTTTTTAGTAACTAATGGATGAATGTTCTTTACCTCTACTTCTGGAAACCACCAATTTGAGTAACAGTTCTCGTCCACTGCTGAGAGATGGCTCCCAAGTGAAAAGTGTACATACTTTTACTTTTCCACATCACTAAGATTTGTTGAACTGCTTCATTCTTCCTCAGTATTCCCCTCAAGAATGAAATGTTTTTTTTTAATATTTTTTTTATTGAGAAAAGGAGAAAATAAAAAAACAAGTTTCCACCTCCTCCCAGCCTCCCATTTCCCTCCCCCTCCTCCCACCCTACGCCCCCTCCTCCCACCCTTCTCCCCCTCCCCCCACTCCTTTCCCCCTCCCTCTCCAGTCCAAAGAGCAGTCAGGGTTTTCTGCCCTGTGGTAAGACCTAGGACCTCCCACTTCCGTCCATATCTAGGAAGGTGAACATCCAAACTGGCTGGGCTCCCACAAAGCCATCACATTACGTAGGATCAAACCCCCGTGCCATTGTCCTTTGCGTCTCATCAGCCCTCATTGTTCATCATGTTCAGAGAGTCCAGTTTTATCCCATGCTTTGCTTTTTCAGTCACAGTCCAGCTGGTCTTGGTGAGCTCTCAATAGATCAGCTCCACTGTCTCAGTGGGTGGGTGCATCCCTCGTGGTCCCGACTTCTTTGCTCATGTTCTCCCTCCTTCTGCTCCTCATTGGGACTTTGGGAGCTCAGTCCAGTGCTCCAGTGTGGGTCTCTGTCTCTATCTCCATCCATCACCAGATGAAGGTTCTATGATGATATGCAAGATATTCGTCAGTATTGCTCAAGGATAGGGTCATTTCAGGTTCCCTATTCTCAACTGCCCAAGGAACTAACTGGGGACCTCAGCTTGGGCACCTGGGAACCCCTCTAGGGTCAGGTCTCTTGCCAACCCTAAAGTGGTTCCCTTAACTAAGAATTGTGGTTCCGTGCTCCCCTGTCCAACCTTCCTTTATCCCAATCCTCCTGCTTTCCCAAGGCCCGAGCTCCTTCCCTTCTAACTTTTCTCTCCCCATCTACCCTTACTCCCAACCCTCCCCACCCCACGATCCCAATTTTCTCCCCGGCAATTTTGTCTACTTCCCTTAGCCAAGAGGATAACTATATGTTTTTCCTTGGGTTCCCCTTCTTACTTAGCTTCTTTAGATTCACCTATTGTAGACTCCGTGACCCTTATTTATGGCTAGAAACCAATTATGAGTGAGTACATCCCATGTTCATCTTTTTGGGTCTGGGATACCTCACTCAGGATAGTGTTTTCTATTTCCATCCATTTGCATGCAAAATTCGAGAAGTCATTGTTTTTTACCGCTGAGTAGTACTCTAATGTGTAGATATTCCATACTTTCTTCATCCATTCTTCCATTGAACAGAAATTCCTTTTCATGACCCCTTTCTCTAACCAACTGCATTCCTGATAATATGGAACAATATTCAGTGTGAATATTAAGAGAACATGCTAGAGGAAATTTCTCATCTTTTTTTGTTCACTGTGTATTTCTGTGCATTTTTAGATGTTTGAATAACTAGCTTTCATTTCAATTCATGGTTCAAGTACTGAGACTAGGCTTCATTGGAAGTCTTTGCCCACTTTCTTTCCTGGAATTATAATTCATATAATCTAACATTTCAGTTTTGATAAATTTAAGGTTCTTAGATACAGATTTTACCACATCATCAGCACATAGAACAATATTCAAGACCAGGATGTAGACATGATAGTAGTTGGCTGCTGAGAAAATGTTCTAGACAGGTAATGTGTGATGGCATCAGAGAAATACAAAGGGAAGTCTTCCACAATTAGTTTCATATATTCTGCACCCTATTTCATATTTACAGAGTCTGGGGATCAAGACGAGTACATACTTTTGAGATCACCTCCTGGAAGACACTCACTTAGATCCACTGTTGGAAGTGAAAGTCAAGAGGGAACACTTTACCCAAGACCACCCCCTGATGGAGGCAGACACTCACCTTCTCTCCCTCCACTTCCCTACAAATCACCCCATGGTGGAGACAAACACTCCCATTCTCGCCATCTGCCACCACACCATGAACAAAGACCACCCCATGGTGGAGGTAACCAAACACAACATTGTCCATCTCATCCTGACCAAGGAAATGAAACACAGCCTCGTCTCCCTCAGCCTGACCTACACAATCAGACACAGCATAGCCCTCCTCGCCCTGACCTAGGCAACCAGACACAGCCTCTGTCTCCTCTCCCTGAGCTAGGCAACCAGACACAGCCTTGTCCTCCTCTCCCTGACCAAGGAAACCAGACACAGCCTCTCCCTCCTCTCCCTGAGCTAGGCAACCAGACACAGCCTTGTCCTCCTCTCTCTGGCCTAGGCAACCAGACACAGCCTCTCCCTCCTCGCCCTGACCTAGGAAACCAGACAGAGCCTCGTCCTCCTCTCTCTGACCTAGGCAACCAGACACAGCCTCGCCCTCCTCGCCCTGTCCTAGGCAACCAGACACAGACCACCCCAGTATGGAGGCAATCATACGGGAGCTGATTACTCTTGTCCTGACTGCTGAAGCAGAGTACCACAATGAGATATGTAATTAGATACAACCCCAGTAATTTCATCCATAGAAGCACCACTATCTTTCCAATATGTTAAGTGACAAAGGCACAGATACAACTACTTTGCTAAGCTAAATTTAGTCTCCTTTAGAATTATGCTTTATTCATAAGCAAACATTTTAGTTCCTACGCTTTCCATATATACAGAGCTCCAAAGTGAATTGGGAACGGGTGAAACAACATGGCCACAGTATACATATTGCTAAGTGTTTTTACTTCAATATTTTCTTTTCTTTTTAAAAGTTCTTCCAATTTTGAGTTTTCTGGAGTTCTGTTTCAATGTGTCCTTTTCTCCAGTAATATCATTTCTGTTATTGCTTGGTTCAGGATCCTCTGACTCCTCTGAGGCCTCCGCTCCAGGGTCTTCCCATCTCATGCTTCCACCTGACAATCTGTTGTTTCACACGAGTACTCAGGTTCAATATCCCTGGTAAATGACACTCAAGTCTATATTTCTATGTATCTTCTAGACTTTCAAATGCTTACTTGGTTCATTGAACCAATTTCAACCTGAAAATAAAATAAAATATTAATCTAAGAGCAAAGAGCGACACGCTGCTAAATTTAAAAAGTCTGTCTTATTTTATATTTCACCATATCCCTCATTGAAAACCTTCTTTGGAGTAACTTTTTTGATAACCATCTTGGAAATGTTAAAGCATCAGTTTTCTCTATAAATTATAGGTAAAAGCCCTTTGCTGCCCATTTCAACCAATATGTTTCTTTAAAAACTCCCATATCAGTTAATTGATCATTAAACTCTTATTAGTAATTTTATGCTTCCATTTTTCTCCCTTCCCAACTCTCTTCTTTTTCTCTCTAATTCATTGTTTCTATTCTTCTCAACCTCTTTCTTTCTATTTCATTTTCACTATTTTTGTAAGTGTACATCCTCCATTATGCAGTCTTGCCATAGTAATTTAATTAAGCCCTGTTCAAAATGTTTGTGTGCCTCTCAATGTCACTATTGTATTTAAAAAGGACCACTTTGTAAATATGTCCCTTTTCATTTTCAATAACAGCTGAAAGACAAATTAACTAAGAATAGCTTTCATTTACTCATGGTATAAGTTACAGTTTAAAAAACACAATGTGCTAGGTGCCTAACAAGAATGAATAAAACACTATTAGGAAAAAAGAGGAGGAAAGGAGAGGAAAAGCCATAAAGTCAGGCTTCCAGCTATTCTTGTTAGTGAATGTAGCAAGAAGAAAAAAACTTTTGCTATGACAATCCATATGTATGATCTTTTACTGTTGGGTTTTGTTTGTACACAGGAAATGAGAAAATAACATTCAAAAGTTATGTCACTCAAGCTGTGGATGGTGCTGTGCATTTTTCATCCCAACACTCAAGACTAAATTCAAGATCGGCCCATGCCACACACCAAGACCCCATCTCATTTATATGCAAATTAAAGAGAGCATATCACTTGAATCATAATTTCAGCTTCACAATAAACAGCCAGCATGCAATTTCTTCTTGTGTTGTCTCTTTTTCTAATGGATGGAGGGTAGTATGTCTGAGGACTATGAATACAAAATCAGAGCATCCATGGCTCTTTTTTGTGGGTGCTTTTGGTAAGCTTCTCTTCCCCCTTTACCCATAAGCCAAGTTTCATCTGAAATACCTGGGTTTCTCTACATTCTACAGAACAAAAATTGCATAAATCATTTTCATAGTATTAATTATTAATGCTTTCATAATTTTAAAGAAATAAGGAATAAATAGCATGCAAAACAATGATCCTTATAATTTCTATAGTTGAGTCAAGTTTCATACATGAATATGGTTGCAAACTGATTCTCTTAAGAATCATAACACTGATTCACACCTCTGACTCTTTAGAGGCATCCAACATTTCCTCTTGGTTCTTTCTTTGGTTTAGCTTAATTAGTGCTCTTATGCTCTCTTGCTCTCTCTCTTTTTTCTCTTTCCTCCTCTGTCCCTCTCTCCTAGTACCATCTTCCTGGTCTGATTTTCTTCATGACCATACTTTATGAAAGTCTACCCAGATGTTCCTTTCTGTGTTTCCAGACACTTCTAGGATGTCATTAGATGGCAATCTAAATTCAGATTATAAAGAGTAAGTGGCTGTATAGTTACTATTTCAGCAGCAGAAACTTCTCAAATCTAAGTTTGCATTAATCTATACTTGGACAAGAACAAGGAGGTATTTCAGTAAGCTACAAAATCTGTCCTTGCCACACCAGGGGGCTGGGGTGGGCCCACAGTCTTTATACACAGACTCCAGTAACCTGTGTTGCAACATTGCAAATTTATCCTTTGCTCTGGAAGCAATCATCTGGAAACAGCTACCTCTAGGTTGCTATACAATCCTGTAGCTACACAGGTCACAACACTGTGTTGCTTCCTGAAAAAACAACCCCCACACCAGTGAGGGACTGCAACCATCCCTGGTTCAAATGGCTGGAGTAAATGTTCATAGAATGTGATTCTGTGACTCCCTTTGACTCTCAGACTGCTCTAAAAGCTAAACCACAGATTTTAGTTCACAGTGGGAGGTTTCAGCATTTGTCCTCAATTTGACCTTCCTGACTATGACTGTCAATTCAAAATATCCTGCTGTCAGTGGAATCTTGTTTAAAAATATGCTGAGCAAGGTTGTAATAGTGTTAATGAAGGCAGACACTAACCTTGGTTGAATCTAAGACCCAGAGGTTCAGAAACCTGCATAGTGTAAAAGTTAATACTTCAGAAACCTGAAAATAATGCAGGCAAAAATTGTAAGAGGGTGCCAGCCTAATGTTCTTTTTAAAAGATATGATTTGGGTATAGTAGTCTCTAGTTGGTGAAGGTGACACTGAGCCACAAATAAACCTTCACAGCAACCTTCCATGCTGTGTTTTCCATCAGGCAGAAGACTCTTTCTTCCCTCTACCCTGTCCTGTGAAAGCTAGGGAAGAACAGTAATGGCAGACCCTTGGCCTATAGTCTATTGTAGTTCCAGGAGCAATTTCAGTAGTAGGTTGCAGTGCAGGTTAAGGCCAGGGAAGGGATGCCATGGATCTCTGTGGAAGTGTTTTTTTTTTTTTTTTTTTTTTTTTTTTTTTTTTTTTTTAAATTAGACCTTGCAGTAGACTTAAAACCAGAGTTGGCAAGTAATTACTTTTATTTTACACATGTACCAATTGTGTCTCAGATGAGCTGTGTGTTTTTGGAGAAGTAACATGATCATTTCTCTGCTTTTTAGATTTTTTAGTCATTCTTGACAGTGATTGTCTGTATATCTGAAATTTTATTTCTTAGAATGGGTTCAATGTATTTTTATTAATTCACTAAAATCAGAGAACATAGCTTCTCACCTGCTTTTCTTACCTGTAGTGAAGAAAATTTTGTATAAGGATGGTTGTTCAACTTTTGTGAGTAAAGGGCTGCCAGAGGATCTTAGAGGTCTGAGTATCCCTTTGTTTACAATGTGGTTAGTTTTGCCTTCATGATGTGGGAAGGTCATTTGTCAATCTTTTGTTTCATTGGTTAATCAATAAAGAAACTGCTTGGCCTGATAGGTCAGAAAATTAGGTAGGTGGACTACACAGAACAGAATGCTGGGAAGAAGGGAAGTGAGCCAGACGCCATGCTTCTCTTCTCTGAACCAGATGCGATGAGGCTCCAGCCTAAGATAGACGCAGGTCAGACATGCTGAATCTTTCCTGGTAAGCCACTACTTTGTGGTGCTACACAGATTACTAGATATGTGTTAAAGCAAAATGTGAGAATTAGGCAAGACGAGGCTAGATATAATGGGCCAGGCAGTGTTAAAGAATACAGTTTCCATTTTATTATTTTGGGCATAAGCTAGCCAGGCGACCAGGAGCTGGGTGGCAGGAACGCAGCCCACTGCTCCTTTCTAAACCTTCATGCCTCCAATTTCATAAACACATAAAGATGTCCTCTTCTACAACTGATTTTTCTCACATGGCCTACAACTATTTTTGTTAGACATTCCAAGTTCCTAGCATTAATCATTTCCTAGTTTTCTTTGGATTAACCCTCTTTTGGAACTGTTGAAAGGAGATCTGATATCAACTACATTGTGTGGCCTCCCAGGGCTTCCTGTGAAATCTAGGCATAAGTCTCTCTGACTCTGTAACATTGCATTCTGCATGTCCACAAAACCAGTGTCACGTGTATGATGCAAATTCAACTTTCAAGTAAAGGCCTCTGGGACCACAAGACCACACCTGTAAAATTGTATGCTTAGGAATCTGAATTTGAGAAATATCTTGTTAAGGATTTAGTGTGGGATATGTTTCTGTGTGCTGTGAATACATTTTATTACCATTGGTTAATAAAGAAGCTGATTTGACCAATAGCCAGGCATAATAGAGTCAGGTGTAAATTTAAGCAAAGACACAGGAAAAAAGAAGGTGGAGTCTGAGAGATGAAAGCAGCTGCCACAGAAGCAAGATGTGAGGCAATGTCACAGCCATGTAGCTATATATAAAGTAATAGAAATGAGTTAATTTAAGTGGGAAGAGCTAGTTAGTAATAAGCCTGAGCTAATAGGCTAAACAGTTTATAATTAATACTAAGCCTCAGAGTAATTACTTGGAATCTGGAAGGCCAGAGACAAACCTCCATTTGAGGCACAGTACTCTGGTTTTACTCTACTTAAGAATACTGTTTCATATGACTTTAAATCTCTGTGCTCTATTGTGTTGGGTGAGGCCCAGTCATTCCCAGAAGTATTCTCATGCTATTTCTCCTGCAGTCTTTTTGCAAAGCATTTGGTTTGTTTTTAAGGAAAACAATGTCTCCAGAAACTAAGATTTTAATTTCTTATAACATTGTTACTCGGGTTTTTGAGTTTTTCCAACTTTTTCATTCTGGCTTTTGTTCACAGTTCTCACTATAAATAGTGCTAAAATAAAGAGTCAATACCCATGCCTGGACAGAACGCAGGATTGCCTTGAAATTCCACCATATTCATTAGTCTGCTATCTTTCAAGGTTAGTCTCTCACAAAATTTCAGACGATGAACAAATTGAAAGTAAATAATTTGCTTCTGTGAAACATTATGAACCTTCTCAGCCTTTTACATTTCTACTGAAGTTCTACTCTTGAGTTTCTGCTGATTCTTCCACTAAGCTCTGCTTACAGAATTCTAGGGTTTCTCTCCCCTGCACTGATAGTTTCCAAATTCCACTGGGACTCCATCAAATAGGATCCTGAAACATTCTGTTCTGTAGTCACAGAAACATTCTTCTCAGTGCCAGCTTTATATTGGCTTTCTATAGTTGTGACCGGTGCCTCCAAGAAAACAAAGTAATATGCAAATTACTTATCAGTTATTTTGGCATGGGCTTTAGTTTTTTGTGGTGGAGGAGTATGGTATAGAAAACTTTCTGTTCTGTGATGGTAAATATTATGTTTACAGGGTAATACATTGTGCTCAAAAGACTTGTAAACAGAAAACTGTTTTCAGTTTATTAAATCATGAGAAAATTTCTATTATCTTAAATGAACCCTGTCAACTATCTTGCCCAAGATGAACTACTTCTTTGTGCAGTAGGGTTATCTTTTATTTTATATATTATTTTTTTCTCTTGAAAAAAAACTATCTTTTTTATTTTACATACCAAACCCAGTTTCCACTCCTTCCCCTCCTCCATTCCCTCTAACTACTCCCCACCTTATCCCCACCCACTCCTCAGAGAGGGTAAAGCACATTGCTTTTGGGAAGGTCCAAGGCCTTCCCTACTATATCTAGGCTGATATCTATCCAAAAAAGTAGGTTCCCAAAATGCCAGTACAAGTGGTAGGGATAAATCCTGGTGCCACCACCAGAGGTCTGCAAACTGCTCCAGCCATGTAATTGTCACCCACATTCAGAGGATTTAGTTTGGACCTATGCTGGTTCCATCCCTGTCTGGTTGGAGTTAATAAGCTCCATTAATGCAGGTAAACTCTTTCATTGGGTATCCCCACCATGGTCTTGTCCTCTTTGCTCAAATCCTCACTCTTCCGGCTCTTCAACTGAACTTTGAGAACTCAATAGAGCTGTCGTTTAAGACTTCTAGTTGTACAATATTTCACTGACTCAGCTATTCTTACAAGATACTGGATCACAACTAACAGGTTAACTACTAGTTCAGCTTTTGTATTAAATGCTTGTTTGCACAGGATTAGAGGCGTCTGTCAGACATTTGTTACAAAAATTTGAAATAACTCAAACAACCAAAATTGCAACTTTGTGGTTTTTGTCTTTAAAATCCTTGGACTAACCATAGCCAGGGCCTTACCTAGAGAATTACAAGTTTCTCATTTAGTCCTTGTATGTTAAAAGGTCTGAGTCCATTTCCAGATTTGAAATATACAAAACTCAAGAATCCTTGAGCTCA